ATTTGGAGGCTCTACCCCCTCCCCCCCAGCCCCCCGCAAAGTTTCAAGAGGTTTTTTGCCATTGACTTCAATGGCCCCATTGGTTATAATGGACCCGAATTTTTCGGGTTTTCCGAAAATTTCGGATATCTATGGTTTACCGGTATAGAAATTCGGGTTTTTTTGGGTTATGGAGGCTCTACCCCCTCCCCCCCAGCCCCCCGCAAAGTTTCAAGAGGTTTTTTGCCATTGACTTCAATGGCCCCATTGGTTATAATGGACCCGAATTTTTCGGGTTTTCCGAAAATTTCGGATATCTATGGTTTACCGGTATAGAAATTCGGGTTTTTTTGGGTTTCCCGAAAAAATTCGGGTTCAATAAACCCGAATCCGAATTTTACCGAATTTTTTTTTTGCACACCCCTATCTAATATATCTCTTAAAGAAAACAATATTACCAAAAAAAAAAAAAAGATTGTGATCAGCATTAAGAAGCCAATTTTGTTGGCCACAGTTGGTGCAAATGCAGTCTCCATGGCAACCCCTGAATCTGAAAATAGAAGTTACCTTGAAATCTAAAGATACTTTTGTCAAAAATAATATCAATTAAATCTATAAGAAAATGTGTAGGGGGGGGGAGGTGGATCTCTAAGTTTGATTTATGTAATTTGGGACAAACTGAGACTTGGGTTTAAATTGAGAAAATTACATATTTATTGAGTGACCAAAAAAAAAAAGACTTTAATTTTAAAGACCTGATAAGTTTAAATAAATCTACTCTAGTACAAAAAGGGTTATACCGGGGGGTTGGAACAAAACCTAGTCTCAAATTAAGAATACGTAATTCCTGATTAGGCAGAGACCTGGATGAGAGGTTTCTGACTGTATTTTCCACTTTTGTATGGAACCCCCAACATACAGGAAAGGCAAGTAGGTACCATTGATTGTGAAAGAATAATGCAGAATCAATCTTTTCTCATTCAATAAAAACACAACAGCTACAGGATTGTTTTTGTGTTAATTTAATCATACAAATATTCATTTATACATTAAGGAAAAAGCACCCCCCCACAATGTGCTATTACAGGATTCTTCCCAGACTCAATGAAGCAACACTCCATCCTGCTCTACACATGCACTCCCCCCAGAGAGAATAAAGACAGGCTGCAGAATCAAACACTCACTCACACAAGAGGAAAAAAACAACAACAATGAAAACCCAGATGTAGGACAGCGTGCATTTCTCAGCCCCAGAGAACTCTGGCTACACTTGTACCTACAGAGATTCAGGATGCACTCACCCACAGCTGGGGGTGGGTGGATAAGTACACATTCCAAAATCCCTGAAGCCTCAGGATATACCCGTCACCTTTCCCTGCCCCAAATTAGGGCAACAACATGGCCCAGCCTGCTAATGCAAGCTTGACATCCATCCCCAAACAGGGATAGAGTTTAATTCCAGCCAGAGGGGCTCAAAGCCAGCCCAGTTTCCCAAGGAGAAGTCTGGGGGCTTTTCTATCCCAGGCTGGAGTCACATTCACAGATGCGGAAGTTATCAGCATTTTTTTTAGCCCAACAGCTTGGGCTAGAGTTACGTTCCCATTTAAAACACACACTCACACACACACACGCGCGCACTCTGCAAACAAAGTATTATTAACAAGAAATTCAAAACTTCCCTTTATTAAAATTATAACAATTGCTTCTTCCCCTCAGGAATCCATCATTATTTCTTCTAGAGATAGTCACTAGGGAAGAAAGTCAGAGCTGACTGCCCTTGCTCATGTGCGGCAGGTTGAAGCGTGGGGAGTTACATCCAGCCCCTAAGCTTCTAAAACCATGAACGAGAACCTGACTTGGGAAACAGGTCATGAGTCAAGCAATGCTTAGCTTCCTCTATGACTAGGCAGTGGGCTAAGTGTCAAGGGGACTGAGGGCCATGTCATTCATATTTCTGCTACAGATGTTAATATTTTTGACAGGAAGCATATACACTATGATGCTTAAAGACAGGAGGGATGTTTGTTTTGCTGCCATTACAAGAGTCTGGAAAGCACTCAGAGCTTTCAACCACATGTAATGGTGGCAAATTAAACATTCATACCAATTTGAAACTTAACTGGGCACCGTTTTATCTTTTATGAAATTAGATCTGTACAGGAAGTGTGTCAGGAGCAAAGCAGTTCTAAAGCAATTTAAACTCAAAACTTTGAAATCATCAAATGAATGGCAACTTGAACCCAAGAGGCTCAGTATGCAATAATGCTTGTATCACAGGAAGAATATTTCCTTGGGAAAGGAAACCATAGGCAGGATAGTGAGCACTTTAAACATCCCCCACTGTCATCACTGAAAGAGTTATCTCCTTAGCCAACACCAACAAACAAAAATGATGCTTTTGCAACTATTTATACCAAGATCTTCCTCAAACATAACAGAAATGCTTATGCTCTGGAAGAGCTGAAGAACTACTGCCTTAAGAGGATGGCTGCTTACTACAACCCCACCTGGGCACTGGCTCTCGCTTTTGTTTCCTTTACTGGAGTGACTTCTCTATTCACAAGAGTCACTGGCACTTGGAAACATTATTCATGATGACTGGCAGAGAATGGGCACTCCTGCATGCCACAAGACAACAGTACTTGGCAGTATATACCAGCTTTCCCTATGCAAAGCAGATAAAGAGAATACATAAATCCAAAACAGTTGGCCGTTTAGATGGGGCACAAGTGTGAATATGTGGTGCAAAGAGAAAAATGAAGCAGTTCTGACTTGGTCTGGTAGCTGCCAGCTGTAATCACTGTAAGACTTCCGATGCAACCCCCCACACACAGAGAGAGAGAGAGATGACACCAAAACCCACACAGTCTACTTAGTCACTTCACTTGCCCATCAACGGAATTGTTTGCCCAGAGCAGGGGGGGAAATTAAATCAATCATCAAGGCTGCTATACACAATCATTTCCTATACCCTTATTTGCATTTGAATACATTACATTGCATGTATATATTTGGAGGGCCATGCTGAGGAGAAATGTCAAGAAGCAAAATGTTCCCCAACTCCTTTACTGCCATAATCTCTCATCTCAAACATTATAATTCCTGAGGTGTAGCCATATTAGTCTGTTGCAACAAAACTGAACAGGAGTCCAGGGGAATCATAAAGACTAACAAGATCCATTCCAGCATAATTTTTTGCCAGTCAGAGTTTATACCAGATGCATCTTATGAAGTGAGCCCTGATTTACAAAAAATTATGCTGGAATAAATTGTTCATCATTAAGATGCCAATGGACTCCTGTTTAATTTCATCTCAAGAACAACTCCTTGAAATAACCTCTTCAAGTGTTCGTGGCAACATTAATGGAAAGATTATTCAAATTAGATCAGGAAATTGTACATGTTCTCCAAAAGAGCACCAAATAAGATGCTGAGCTGACTCCAGAATATTGAATACCTAAATGCCTACAACCCCCATGATCCCAGCCAAGATCCACTTAAATTCTGCAGGTGCTAACCATATGTTCTAGTGGAAGACAGGACTGTGAAAAAAATTGTAATAGGTTGTTTAAAAGGCCCTTTATGTTACTTTGGGCCATACTAAAAGTTCTGCACAACCTCCATCAGGACATATGTACTTTCCTCAATTATCTCAGAGTAGGCAGTTTGGTCTTTAGAGTGAGATGAAAGGAAGGGGGTGTTGCATATTATTCTATCTTTGGCAGACGGCTGCTATGGCCTAGTTCAAGTTTCTGAATTAGACAGAACCCCCCTCCTCCTCTCCTTTGCAAAGCCTTGAACTGATGCAACACCCAAAAGACCATAATCTGCAACTTTCTCCGATGAAGGACAACCTAGTCTCAGTTATATATGGCTATCATTCTTTATGGGCTGCACACAGACAGCCTTTGCACCTTTGACAGACAGACAGACAGACAGACAGACACACACACACAATCTAGAACATCAAAGGTTCAGAGAATAAGAAAGCCAATGAACAGAAGGAACTACAGTAGGAGGCAGCTAATGGTTCTTCCTCCCATATGTCCAAAGCAATTTAGACTCTGTCAACTAAGCTAGTATTTCTATTGCCAAATAATCAAACAGAAGTTACCCTGATATAAAAAGGGAAATGTGAAGTTTACACCCAGAAGTAGCATGAAATTTAAAAACTGGTGCTCTACCGCTTTAGAAATAAAATTGATTCTTGGCACATGCATAACTGTCTCAAAGATTGTTACTGTACGTTAATGAATACAGGAATACTTCAATATGCTAATTGTTCAGGGCAAGTTTTGGAAATCTGAGTGTGGGCTCTTGTTGAAAGCCTAAGAAAACCCTCTGGCATAATTTCAGTCCTTTTGCATTTTTTACCTCCTTGACACACCGACAAAGAGGGAAACTGGGTTTGATCAACTTATACTTACAGAAAAGAACTAGCAGATGACTAATGCACACCAATCCAGAGAAATGATACCAACAGCAGATTAAAGGCAAACAATGGATGCTGTTAAAATTCATAACTGGGTATTGATGCAGCTACAAATTAAAAACACCTGATGTATAAAAATAGCAGCTGCACTAACCAAGAAAATGCTAAGCAAGCTTCCATTCCATAGCAAGCATGTCTCCATAAAAATGCACGCTGTCCCTTTTTGAAAAGTTGTGAAGAAGAAACGAAAAAATAAACATTTGCTCAGACTACAACCACTCTGTAGGCAAAATAATTTTTTTCTTTCAAAAAGAGATGGCTTTTCTGTTTTAATTTTTTAAAAATTTCTTTTTAAGCTACCTAATTAACTGTGACAATGACTTCTAAACAAAACATTGGTGTATTTTTCTCTCTCATAGCACTGAACAGCACTCCTGAAATTCAGCATTCACACATGCATACTTTAGTTTAGGTGTTTTTTCTCCTGGAAACAACTAGTCTTAAAGTTATAGTTTGTTTTCTTCTTATCCAAGGATATGGAGCCAAGAAGGGGCGTTCATGCTGTATCTTCTATAAGTCACAAGAACTCCCCCTCCCTCCCAAGTCCGGTCTTTGTTAAATTCTCTTCTCAACGATACCCGTTTTTGTTTAAGACTGTCCAAAGGGGTAAGGACCATGAAAACCCTGGAAAAGAATTAGAGACAAAAATTAATTTCAGAAAGGGGAACAAGCTACGCTATGTCTACTCCAAAACATCAGCTCTCTCCCCGCAAATGAAAGCCCCTGCAGCCTATATTCGAAAGCTGGGTGTGTATGTTTCAAGCCAACCCACTGTCCTCCCATTTCAATGCTACAAGTAAAAAAACCAACACCCAAATATATCACCAGTGCCACTCCCAAACAGCACCAATATTTAGTCATTTGTACTGGTCCACAGAGATACCCACTACACTGGAAAAACAAGCCTTTGAGCCATAGTTCCAGGTTAGGGTTTGAAATATAGCAGTCCTGGAATTTTATAATGATGCTGGTCTTTAGATTTCTTACACAACTTTGAAATCCCAATCAATTCGAGACAGCCCATATACTTAAGCCCAGAACAGTCCCAGTCCCAACAGTTTACACACACACAAAGCTGCTCACTAGGCTTGAAGGTTGGTTCTGTGTCTCCAACCAGCGATGCTACCTTGAGCTGCAGACCTCATGTATGTTTTGTGGCAAGCAGGAATTGGAGCTATTAGCCCAGCTGACCCTGTTTAAATTCCAAAAGACACACAATAAACTTCTATAAGCCTTATTTGCAACTGGTCAGCTTCCCTTTGACTGAAGCTAAGGTAAGTTGTGTTGGTATAAGCCACACTTCTGCAAAGTTCACATAAGGCTATCCACAAAGCTAGAACTGGCACAAACGAATGCCTAGAAAGTTGAGATGCTTCTTGATATGCCCCTATTTCCTATCTCAAATGATTTTTCAGTCATTCTTTATTCTATAGAAGGATCATTTCTAAAGCCATACATTATTCAGACGGAACAAACCACTTTTTAAAACAACAATTTATTATCATGTCTGTTTTCTACGTTGAACCAGCTAGCATGCTCTGTTAGGAGGAGGAGATTGGATTTATAATCCGCTCTTCACCCGGAGTCTCAGAGCGGCTTACAAACTCCTTTCCCTTCCCCTCCCCTCCCCTCTGAGGTAGGTGGGGCTGAGAGAGCTCTTTCGAGAACTGCCCTTTCAAGGACAGCTCGTAAAAGATATGGCTTGCCCAAGGTCATCCAGCAGGTGCAAGTGGAGGAGTGGAGAATCAAACCTGGTTCTCCCAGAGTCCACGCACTTAACCACTACACCAAACTGTGCACTTAACCACTACACCAAACTGGTTATAGGGGTGGAAAGATATTTTAAATATTTTGCAAGTGGTAGCATCACTTTCTTGGCCTAACCTGAATAAAATGTTTCAGATACTACATAAAGTTTTTTAGGAACCGAATGGACCAACAACTTCCCAGTTATCTTGCCATTCCTATCCAGCAATAGCAATTTCTGAACTTAAAAAAACAAACAAAAATTAGACTCTTCAAAATAGTAATATGAAGATAGTGATGCAAAAAAAAAAATTTAAATGAAGCCATGGGGAGAGGTCAAGACTAGTGGATCCCCATTTGTTAATGAATCCTGTAAATAGAGCTTGTTTATACTCTTTAGACCACATCTCAAAGCAGGCTGAAACCAATTAATAAAGGCAACTGAATGCATCCCCTGAATGAAAAAGCTGGTGAGAATTTTCTTATGTGGAACTAAAAGAAAAACTGCGCATTCGTTATCTCAAATATAAGAACTTCATTATGAACTCAACATTAATGGTAGGACCTGCAGCTTAATGTGAGCACTCTGATGAGCCTGGCAATTTGCATGTTAAACTATCGTTTCCCCTCAAATATTTGCACTCAGTTCAATGCCCAGTTGCTGGATTACAGTGGTTTAATTTAACAGACTTTAATAAAAGGATTCTGCTCAAGACGGTCCCAAGGTTAACTGCAAAAAACAGTGCTATTTAAGCCAGGCAGTCCAATTAGAGCAGAACTTTCCTGAAGGCCTTCTAAACCTTAGAAAAAGAAACATCCACTAGAAAAAACACACAGAAATATGAATCTGTACATTCTAGTATGAATTGTTAAAAGGATGCAAAAACAGCCTTAGTAGCCTCTGCAAACTAGGGGGGGGATTATTCTTTATTTAAAAGATTTATAAGCCCACCTTTTCTCAGGCAACCCAAGGTGTGTAACAAAACCAAACTCATTAAAATCAGAGTTCAAAGATATACAGTTCAAACCTAAAAAGACCCCTCACCAAACCTAATAAGACCCCTCAATGTCTAACCAACTTGTAATATATTCAAGTGACCCATAAAGCACTCTCATAATGTTAAGACTTACAGCAGAAACTCCTTTGTTATTGAGATGTTCGCAAATAGGGGATGGATCCACAGTACCACCAGCTGAGTGAAAGTGACAGACCAAGTTTATACATATCCAACTTTCCACTGCAGCCCACTGAAGACCCTGAATTCTGTTCCTAAAAGTCAGGGAACTCTCACAAACAGAAGGGGGGAATCTGCAGTGTGGGAAGAGGACCGACAAACATCACCTTCCTTCTTCCACCAATGGAATTCCTGTTATACCTGCAGACCACCACCTTTGGATTGTACCCATTAATTTCATTTATGCATTTAATACTCTCGGATTTTTGCATTTATCTTAAACAGAATACAATCTTCCCAAGTCTCAAGGAGGCCAGTATGTCAAGAGTATGGTAATAGTATCTGAAGTACTTTTGAAAGTATATCCTTCGTTTTCTATTGCGGTATCTGGGCAGTGCAACAGCATTTCATATATTTATGGAATTAAAATAAAAATTAAAGATATTAGTGTTTTCCTAGTAGTCTTCTTCAACTTTGTGCCTGTAATAAGAGCACTGGTCCTGCACTTTATGTAGTGTATCAAACCTCCCCGGGTGAAGGTGACTATAGTTTAGAAATATCTATATTTCTATATTGGACTATAGACTATATTATTCTATATTAGACTATATTATTCTATATTAGACTATAGTATAGAAATATCATTCATAAACAACTAAACAACTAATCTATAATAACATAAAAACATGTTTTATTTAACCAAGAGAAATAAGAAATGAGATATTCTTCAAAGTACTAGAGCTGAATAAAGTTGATTTCATAATTCAGCTTTCCTCCCTGTAATTATGAACATAAATTGGGTTGTATCAAAACAGCTGCATAATAAAAAGCATTTCTGCTCATACAGGTCGTGGAGTTGAACAATATTCCCAGATTTGCCATTTGAATTGCAGGCCCCTCCCCACCCCTGCTATTCCCAAGGATCCCCCTACTCTGAACACAACCTTCAGGATGGTGCAGGGTCCTACCTAAGACCAGGTAGGGGGAGAGGCTGGAAGATCCATTCTGTGAGTGGAGCACCCACATTCATAGTTCTAGGGATGCAACGCTAACACTGCATTGGGTTATGTTGGTTTCAAATCCATATTTGATTTTTTTTTAAACTAAAGTCCTGTTCAGAATCTTGGCGCAGTCTGCTCTCCTACTTATCTTGATACTGATTTTCCCTCCTGTATGGATAGTACCTAAAAATATACAAAAGCAAATAGGAAAGCGGAACAAGAGGTGCAAATACACCCTCTAATCATTTCAAATATTTGCAAAATTGAAAGATCTGAAATTAGGAGCTGAAGCCAGATGACTTAAAGCAAAATAAAAAGGTTAACTTCAGAGATGCGATCGTAACTGATTTCATAGATATCTCAAATCCTGGCTACTAATTCTCAGTTTTACTAGACAAGCTAGGTGACAACATGAGCTATAAAATGCTTTTTAGTTGCAAAATTTGACTGGTGATTCTTAATAAAAATATCTTCTGGGGTTGAAACTAAAACACATATTTTTCTTTCACTTGAGCTTATAAAATGCACGAATTTAACCCTGGCTTTTGTATGTTGAGGAGTTTAAATAAATAAAAGTACACTTTTTAAAAAAAAATTAGCTGTTGATGCATGGATGCAAGAGAAAACAAATTTCCCAGAGTACACTGATGGCAGTATCAGATAATGTTATCAAATCACTCTCTCGTCTTCATCATTTCCTGGCCCGTTCCTGGTCAGTGCTTCTCCAAACTAGCTTTGCCTTTCTTGAGTCACTTATGTACACTGAACACAAACAGTACAGAGCATTTTGTACTACATTTTGTTCAAAGCATACTATACAAATATGATGTAGCAGCTCAAATCCCTCTCCTACAATTCAGGTGTCCTCCTTTTGTACTTAACTGAAAGTTGACCTACAAGTTCAGAAAAAGTACTGACAACCTCAGATGCACCACTTCAGAATGCCATGTTTGAATGTTCTCCTATCCCAAAACTATTTTGCATTCAGAAAACTATTGTGGGAAGAAAGCCATGTCAACCCACCTTCATCCTAACATGGCACCTCTTCATAAGCACAGTATATCTGACCTCCCAGAACACTCAATTATGCACCCCACGCACACATACCTGCACTCTGAAGTGGTATAATCTAGAAGGTCAATATCATCTACTCTTTCTTTAGATCAGCTCTAAAGCAGTTATGTCTATTAAACAGAAAGAACTTTGGTTTCTCTATTTCTGCCCTTAATTAGTTCAAATTGCCACCCACTGAAAAAGCGCTAAGGTTTCTGTGCATTAATGTGACACGTCCACATAAAGACAAGATACTATTAACATGACCCGTAATACGTGTAATCGTTCAACACAGTTTTTTAGCAAGGGACATGGGGAAAAGTGGAATGCATATATTTTATTTACAAAATTTAGATTCTGCCTTTCTGCCCGCACAAGGGCCACCAAGGTGGCTAACAATTTAAAACATACATGATAAAATCACATTTTAAAACCATTAAAATCAACCTCTCCAACCACACATCATTAAAACAAATTAATATTTGTAACAATATTCATTACCCAGCTATCTCTACACCAGCATAATTCTTGTTGGATTAGGCTCAGATCCTGCACATTTCTTCAAGTGTACACTTTTTTATACCTATGTGCATGTTTACAGATTTCTGCACTAGAATGTTCAACAAAAAAGGTTAAAGTCTGCAATGCGGGTGATTTTAAAGAGTTTTTCTTGAATACTTTCCCAATACTTCCATTTTTACATGGTAGAAGTTAAGGTAAGCAGGCTGGATAGCACACAAATATTTGCAGAGGAAACCCCTGTTGCTTCTACATTTTTGGAAAAAAATATACTGGAAAGAACGCAAAACCAAGTGCTGCCAGATATTTTGGAGCAATCACTGATATGCTGTTTCAGTCTGACCTTCCACCTATAAAGATCCAGTGATTCACCAGTACGAAGATTAGGCCCCAATCCAGCAAGTGGTAATGCACATGAAGAAATAACTTTTCACATGCATCTTACTCACCATACATGCAACAGACTACTTGAGGGGGAGATGTCTTTTTTTCAACAGCTCCAGTTTTGTGCTCAAGTAAACAAGTGAAAAACTAAAGGTTGCATGTCCACTGATGTACTGTAGAGCCCATTCTTTTCCTGTTTGAGATGAAACTGGGGCTACGTGTGTGCTACGTGTGTGCTCTGCAGTCATGGACATCTGGTTCAGGACTTCAGATAGGGTTGCCAAGTCTTACTGGCTTTCTAGTGGGGGGTGTCC